CTTCAGTATTTTAGGATTTTTGTTTTCGAAAGTGGAGGAAATAGGACAATATGACAAATAGGAATTAAATTAATATCTTAAGTTTGATCATAAAACACTGGCAACAATCTGTGGCTAGTTGGTGAAATACAAAGATTACATGAAAGCTTTGGTTTGTTGTCTTGGTGGAACTGTTTGGAATATCCTTGACAGTTGGTTTCATTGATGTAGGCATGCATGATGTACGTAGATCCCATGTGACAGACTCTCCAGCTTTGCTGCATTGAAGCCAGTCAATTCAACTTTCATGGGTGAGCAGAATGCCTATAGAACATGCAGCATGATGATGGTCACCCCAGCTGCCATCAGTCTGTCTCCTGTCTCCATACTAAGTTCCCAGTAAATCCACCCTTTTCCTCCAGACTGGGGGTCTGCGATATCAGTACAAGAACAACAAAGCCTAGATAAGCCCACAGTTCCTGGACAATAATGTGTGAAACAAGGCGGGGATTAAATTGGAATTCCAATGGGTCTGGTCAGGAGGTGACCTGAGGTTACATCAGAATTGGAGCGCATTCCAATTTCCTGCACAATAAGGGTCTGCAAAGTAATTGCCCAGCTTTGTTGTGCTGTTGGCCACTACTTTTTATGCTGTGGCAGGTGCATGAATTTCCAAGCTTGACATCCACATGCATCATCAGAGCATTTCAAATGAAAGTATGTCATTCTGAATCTCAAATGTGTCTACACTGCATGTAGTTTTGCTTGGAAGTAACTTTATCTCATTGTCCATGTGTGTCTAACAACTTTACATTTGATGGAGGACCACACAGGGCTTTCTTTTCCCGTCTCACAGAATGACTCCAGACCTTCAAAATGGACCTCAAATGTAAATTTGGCACAGGCACTTTCAGCACGGCACCATGCAAATTTTTTTTGGTAATGACTTTCTCTTGTCAGTGACACAGGTTGGCATGCAGTCTGGTAAACATTTACTGCAGTTTTGAACATTGATGAGAGAGGCTTTTGTTTCAGTAGACCCCTTTGTTTTGGTTATGCTTTGCCAGTGCTCTATGACCTGGCTGGCAACCTTGCTGTGTGGCCTTGCCGGTGCCTTTTTACCTCCCCCCCTTTAAGGTTGGTCAATCATTTTTGATGTCAAAACCATTCTCCCTTTGTACCTTTGTGTGTCTGTTGGTGCCAGCTTCCAAGTCTTTCCCTTTGAGAATTTAGAGCAGCCTCTTCAGTGGCTGTGCTGGAGAAGTAGAAAGTGATGTCTCCTGTCAGCTGACCTCTCCAACCACTAATGCTCTCTTGGTCCTTCCAAGTTCCAGCACCCCTTGCAAGTACTTCTGTTTGCACTGCCCTGCCACCAGTGCCAAAACTTCTCAGGTTCCCTCTGAGGTGGCCCCATAATTCAGAGGATCACCCTGTCTGCTCCCTTTTCAACCTCTTCCCTCAAATTCCTGTCTCACTCTCAGACAAGGCAAGTTTGTGCACACAGAGGAAGTTTACGCTGCAACAGGTGACCTACTTTTGGTTTACCCTCCCTGGAGTTGTTACCGTGGTGATATGGAGTTCTGCTACCTGATGGAATGTAGAGACAAGTTCATCAGGGCTGGTCAGCTCAGATGTGCCATTAGACACCTGTTAGTGGCTCCAGCCCCAAATCTCACATACCCTAAGTGACAGATGAAAATATTGTCCTGGTTTTTATTGGCACTGATAATCAATTAAACCAGTTCATTTTTCTCTGGTTTTTATTGCTTGGCTATTTGGACTGGAACAATAATTCTTCACATTGCCCTGGCTTGAATTTATTGTTGCTAATGGATCAAGGGCAAAAGCAGCAGGATTGCGCTCTTTTCCTGGTGAGGTTTCATCATCTGTTGGTTGAATAGTTTGAATGAGATCAAGTGTCACCAATAATAAGTGAGCTTACTTTCCACTAAACCCTACTAGCAAAGAGAGGTCACCCCAGGGTCAGTGCCAATGTGTATAGAAAAATAATCTGGGATTTGGACTTCCGACTTCTTTTCCCTCCACCCAAAACTGAGCGCTCACACAACAACCGGGAAACAAAAACAAGACCCCTCAAATGACCAACCAGTGAATTCAGCAAAGGTGCGCCATTATTTATTGATCTAAAATCAAGTCGTCTGGGGTTCCTGAGCAAACAAGCACTTGCAAAGGGATACATGTACCCTTTGGAGGGGGGATACTACATGTGCGTGGACCAGGTTTCCATGGTGCCCAGGAAGGAATGTTGGATTTGTGTCAAGTTTCTTGCCACTTCCAGTTGGCTGTCTACCTCTCAGCCTGTACTGGATTTCAGTCCTTTGTTTACGCATACATAGGACTGTCACCCACACCTCCGAAAATTACACACACACACACACAAAACAAAAGCTCTCCAGAAAGTCTTTCTGTCTGAATACTGTACAAAGATTAGAGAACCGGTTTTCAGGGCTGTGATCTGAGTTCTGTCCAGTACATGTACATGTAATCAATAACCTCCAATTCCATCAAAATTTGTGTGGTTTGTATGTGAAGAAGACTGGTGGAGCAAAGCTGGGGCAATTTCAACTCCTCTTCTGAAGGGAAAAAAACATCACCACGATTGAAGTCAAATAATAAATCTGAACTTTAGGATTTCACCTGACTATTTTGAAGTACAAAAAAAAGTGTGTGTGTGGGTGTATGTGTGGATGTCTGTGTGTGGTGGGGGGGACACAGACGTGATTGTTGAGCCATGTTGATAAAGCCAATGAAAATTTAGACCACTGATTGACCTTCTAGCCTCCTATTAAGAAATCCTTGAGGCCAGCCAGGAATGGTCAGGCAAACTGAGGGATATATTGTTCCTGCGCAACCCAATGTGAGCTGATCAGTCCCTCTTACAAGGCTACTTACTTTACACTGGTGGTTCTGTTATTTCGGTAGGAATTTGGTACAAATTACATTGCCAGATCCGACCATGTGATCCAGCAAGGGCAAGCACCCTGATACCCTCAGAGTGGGTGGCGTAGATAAGCCTCTTGGTGAATTCTGTTTCTCTCTGTTTCTTGTTACACCCTTAAAGGGGCTGTCTGTACACAAAAATAAAGTTGTTCTTGGCATATGGTGCTGGCATAAGGTGCTGGCACTGTGAAGGGAAAACCAAAGTAACTGGCTAATTTAATGAAGAAGGAAACTTGATCAGTTTTGGAGACTTTACGAGAAAACGTGTTGGAAAAGTGAGTCTGGCAGCCATGTTGTGGCAGCAGTAATGAAACCGCGAGCAGGCCTTGATTTGACCGTCAAACCCAAAACCACCTTAAACATTTCTGTTGGTTGAGGTATGCGGTGTGAGTGGGCGGGGATGGGATACCTGTGGCACGACAGACACATGTTATGTGTGCAATCAACCTGATTTGTTGGTTTGAGATTGGAAGTTTTGATTTGCTCTGGACTTTATTCCTGCCCCACCATAAAGTTAGCTAACTTCAATATTTGTTCAGGGTGCTCTCCTTGTTTGGCCTGGCATACCAAGTACATAAATACACAGTGTGAGGGGGGTATCTGCTTTGGCTTTAGTTTTTTGGGGGGGGTATCCTGTATATGAGAGTCTTAAGTTGGCTGGTACAGCTCAGTGGCAAGTTTCCAATGCAAAAGTGGAAGAATAGACTGACTCCATAATTCCTTGTAGTGACAAATGATAACAGTCACTACACTCCCAGAAGTATTTTATTTGAACATAGAGATTCCAAGTGTTTATTAACATTGTACTGTTCGACAACTTAAGCTCAGGTATCTTTGGTGTCTAAAGTACAACGAGTCTAGCCCTACTTGTGGTGGTGGTTGTACCAATTGCAGTACCGGAAGCAAGAACTTCTCCAGACTTCCTCCCCTTCCACTGTGGTCTAGTAATTGATAATATCTGCTCTGCTCAAAGTCGGATCCGATCTGGCCCCATTTATTTTTATATGTATTCCCCATTTGATGCCCGTATCGTCTTGCGACCATTGTTTATATACCACGGTGATACCTCCGGTTTGTCACGTTGCACAAATTGCAGCCGCCCCAGTGTCCCACTGAGGGGCCATCAGAAGCAAAGTGGCTTCCTCCCGGCACAGGCGACAATAAACCGGCGAGGACATACCCATGACCCCGGTTGTGCATTCTCATCAATTTGGAGCATGGGTTTTACAAAAGGCTGCCAAAATGAAAGTGAGGCTGACTGTAGCATGCTATGCGTCAACTGGCAGTGAATGATTCCCCGAAACTTGTCAAAAAAAGTGAAAAGAAATGACCCTGAACTTCTGTTACCAATCGCAAAAAGTGAAGAGTGCTCCCAGTGTATTCGGCTATTTGAAATTCTTCCCTGCAGTTCTTTTCACACAGCTAGAACAGCAACCAGAAATATCCAAAATTCCACTTCCAGACAAAAGTTCTTGATCCATGGCTAACAGGTTTTTTTAAAGAAACAAGTTAAAATCTGATGTAATATGCAGCAATGTCTACCTATGAGTAGGAAAGAAGAGGCAATTAGAATGATGCCATGTTGAGTAACCACACAGACAACGGGCATGGTGTATGTACGTGTACTTCACCTTGGCGGAAGTTTTAAGTAGTGATGTAAATAAGAGTCCCTCTGTGTGAGCCAAGGATTTATGTAGGAAATGTTTGCATTCCAATCACTGAGAAAAGCGGAGCGTCAGCTGACAAAACCCAACTAGAATTGACTCTGCCACCACAGAGGCATTGAGAGATTTATAAAACCATGCATAATGAGATTAAGTCCTTGTCCAATAGGCACCCTCTAAATCACTCACTTTTCTCACCCCTGAACCACTCAATGCCCATCAAACTCAAATTCTTGGTGTCAGACTTGAGTACACCAGGAAGGATTAAACTCCATAAAAATATTTAGCATCAGAAAGAGTTACATTTCATGTCAAGACGTTAGATCATTGTAAAAGAGTGGGAGATTTGGACAGATTGCCCAAGAATATTGCCAATGATGAGGCAGTGTTGTGGAAATTTTTTGAATCAGTTTTATCATTGGTCTGTTTAAAAAAAAACCAGAAGTTCTTCATGGGTCAAGGTTTTTTTACATTGAAATTTTATGCATTTATACATCGATACCTACAAAAACATACACCTTTTTTGTTCTATTATTGCATGATTTCCAGGCTTCCTTGTACTCATTTAATCAGTTCATGCTCTTTTTGCAACCAGTGAATAAGTTAAAGCAGTTGTGCTATTTATTATGCATTCATTTGAAGAAGAATCTCACACTCTTCTACCAGGCTGTATTCACAGCACGAGTTTCTCCAACTTCCTGGTATTGGAATTTGGAAGTATATGAATCGGTAGTGGCATTGCTCAAAACAAAACCATTCCAAAACCAGCCCCATTCAGTCACCAGAGCCAATACAGGAATGAGGCCAGGTCTCCCCAAACGCATCAATAATCACTGAACTTGGCAACACTGGCAGTATTGTGTGCACCGGGAGTTGGCCCATTTCTGAACTTTTTTAGCAGACTTGAGAGTTTGCCCTGGCAGCCCAATACGCTGGGCCAACCATGGGAAAGAAAGTTCAATGCACGTTCCAGCTATGCCGCCATACAGGTGGTCATGCGTGTATATTAACTGTCCAGACAGGCTTTTTTTCCCCTATGGCATGCTGGGAAAGCAGCTTCGTTTTGCATTGAAATTCCAGGAGTGTTTGGATTTCTGCCTTTCTGCCATTTACTGGTTTTGCTGGATAGATTCCAGGCGCATGTGTGAATCTTTACATTACACCAGACATTGATCAAAGGTTGCTTTTGTTTACATGTACATGTGCCTTTCTTTAACATTACAATTGCTTGGAGTGGGATTATAATCTTTTCATGAATTTCTTAAACTTGCTTTGCTATCTCTTCCCTTATTATGTTGATCTTTTCATTTCAACCTTTGATCTTCTCTCATACATGTACATGTATCAGTGACAACTACTTGATTACAAAAATAGCCAATGCTGAACTTTATATTTTCAGTTTTCTTCTTGCAAAACTGAAAATAAGTGACCTTAATGCTTCTGCAATGGCCCCTATTCTTTGGGTGAAGAAAAGCACTTGGCAACTCCATCGGGAAATTCCACCATGGACCAACTTCCGATGTTGGCCTTTTATTCTTATGGGAGGCCCGGTAGCCATCTCTTGCGGGCGGGCCTGCAAAGTAACAGCAGGTTGCTCCCAACCCAGCAGATTAGCCCAGGGGTTATTGATCAGACTTGTGTGGGGTTGCACACAGTAATAGGAATTTTATTACCTGGCCACTGATGAGGGCAGAGGGAATTAAGGCAGACCCGCTGGCTGCAATAGGCTCGACAGAGGCTTCTGACCTTCTTGTGGGTCAGGATGACCGAACGACCTTTCCAAAAGTGCCTTGGTGAAAATACTCAAAGGAAATACAACTGGAAAAAAATTCTGTGACAGAGATGCTGGATATTGCTTGGCTGGCTTCCTTGGAGAAAACGTTATAGGCCCGATTGAACTAAATGATCCAAAGCTATAGACACAGTTTGGAGATTTTTTATTATAACTGCTATGTTTTTGTTTCTTTTTTTCTTTCTACCCACTACAGGACTACCTCATTTCATGTCAGGAGAGAATGGAGTCCTTGTTATCTGACAGTCTGGCTCATCCGGCAAACCTGGACATTCCCGAGGCCAACAAGCACCATGAGAGTGAGTATGAGAAGGAGCAGCCCACAACACCGACTGATGTTCAAGACGTGTCCAAGCTCCTGGACCAGTCAGGAAGAAACATGGCAAAGATGGCAGAATCGAGGCTACCGGCTCCCCAGAGTTTATCGTAACGCTGGCTGGTGGTGTGGCAAGCATTTCCACAAGCCCTCCTCCTCCTCCCTTGTGGAATCTCTAAAGACTTCTAAAGAAGATGGACAATTGTATTATCTGCTGACAGCTCATTGAAGAAGTCTTCAGGCATTTTCACCGGGCCTTACAGTTTTATTGAGTGGAGGGGCGGGGAGAGACAGTGAAAAAAGTAAGGAACAAATTTGACTGGAATGGTACCAGTTCTGGATCCTTCTAGTGAGAACCTTATTAAAGTGATGTGTTAGAGTTGCATATCAGACAGTAGGGGGAAGACTATCCTTGGTTTTTCCCTTGGCAGGTCTTCATGCAGGGGGGCTTGAGGTTGCATTAAAATGGCTCTTTGACCTTTTAAACTCTAGGTCAGAGTTCACAGCAGGGTTGGTATTGTACAAACAAATCTATTCACTCTGTCCCACTTCCAAGCCTAGTCAACATTAGAGGGGTTTGCCAAATCCTGTCAGAGTTTGTTGGCTCTTTAACAAGCTACACATTTGCCAAATATTGCCATAGGAATGCTAAAGAATATACGGATTTGGCAAACCACATCAGCCAAAGTTGATAACAACCTCGCCCCCCCTGACTTTCTGTTTGGAATGCTTTGTCCAGTGACACAGCCACTTAGAACCAGTTGGCCATGTTGGACCTTGCTCAATTTATCTTTATGTTTGTTTCTTTAATCGTTGACAAGCAGGTGCCCGAGTAGAACGATTATGTCAGGGCTGGTCCCCTAGACTGTTACATCAAATTAACCCTTGACCCTTCACCTGCAACCTTTCTCTCAGAAAAAAAAAAAGGATGTAAAAAATATGAAAAAAAAATAAATTTTGAAACTGTGAACCACAAAAAAAAAAAAATTGTGAGAAAGGTCAAAAAATTTCCAGCCCTGACTGGTGTTTGAAAGTGCGAATATTATACTGGTGTTAAAGACAGTGTGAAGCTGTAATTTCTGTGCATTTTAATGCAAATCCATTTTGTTGTGGTTTTTGTTGACGTGTTTTGTTTGTTTCCATATACTTTGTTTTGGTTTTAAGCATACTTAGACTGGTTGAGATGAAAACAGGGATATTAGGAATTGCATTTAAGTTTCAAAAATACATTTCTTTTTTCAATGAAAATTAATCATGAGGCCACAGTCAATATTTAGCTAAGTTCAGGCTTTTTTCCCTGAATAATCTGACATAAGATGGAAAACAAGAGAAACATTATTTTGTGGTGAATTTTTGTTTGTCTTTTGCAATATATTTAGATTGAATATATTCACCGGACAGCAGCTTATTATCAACAGTTGTGGAGAAAATGTAATGATTGTGTTTGATTCCCAAATGGAATCTTCCAGGTCACTGATACCTCACTCTGTTAAACTTTAAAATGTTGGCAGATTCCATTTGTGATTTGAGGGAAGAGTGTCATTCTATGCAAGTGGTGGTTGTGGTTTTATTGTGGAAATAGGATGGAAGATAAGACTGGGCCATTAAAATGGAACAGGTTTTTACAGTAGCGTCTTCTCAACAGTTTCAATGAATTTTTTGTGCACAAAATTTGAAGCATGTTCATTTCCTACATTGGTGAAAAAGTTTTGGACATACATTCAAGGTAATGTTTGCCCATAGTTACATTAATGTACATTATATAATTAAACCCAGGACCAAATTTGGCAAAAAAGAGATGAGTAGAAGATTCTGCATTTATGCAGATGGAAGTGCAGGTTTTTTCAGCCACTTTCAACATAATTTTATAAATTACAGGCTAGTTAACGTGTAATTGATAAACCAATGAATTCATTTTTTTGTGAAAGTGTTTTGAAACTTTCATAGCACCCAAAAAATGTGAACTGGGATTGGGTCATCAGATTAATTTTTTTAAGTACCATTTCACAATTTTGTGTGCGAAAATTATATAGCTATAACAACTGTTTGCAGTGGCTTTTTGTATCCTTAATTTTTTTTTAATTTAAAAAATTCTTGAAGAATGGCTTGAAAAACCGTCACTATGAAGTTGGAAAAAACATGTTTCCATTAGCTTTATTTACTTCGTAAAAGAATTCCTGCATTATTCATGCCCTGAAAAGGTTATCTGGGCTGTTTTCCAATACTCGACTTTGGCTCCGTCTCAGGCTTCAACGGTTTTTTACTTCCTGACTTTCAAGTTGTAAACAAAATAGTAAGTCTTACAGTGCCACAAAACATCAAGTAAGATGCAAAAGAGCCAAACATTACAGTACTTCAATTTAAGTTAAACATTTCAGGCCCGCAAGAGAGGACTGGCTTCCTACACGAAGCCCGAGACGGAGACAAAGTTGAGTATTGGAACACGGCCCCGAGTATGTGCCAAGCTAGTCTTCCTGGCCACAGACATACAACAGTAATTTTCTTCATGGACTTTCACATTGGCACCTTTTTCCCACTTTTATTGCTGAAATTTGTTGAACGGGTATTATATTTTAAATTGCATACTGACTTCCTCTTTACTAAAATGCTTCCTTGAAGTACAGAATTGCCAACTATTCCCCTGTGGGTGTTGATTGAAGTTGTTTTCCCCCCTTCACTTCAGAGACGCAATGCTGTTGAGAATGGGTTGGGAGCAGTCATTGCTTCGAACCAGTCTTAATCTGATACACGTACACGTTAATGTGATCCTTGTAACAATAGGATGTGCATCAGAAGGGATAAGGAGCTTATCCCCCAGAAGGCTTGGTAACCACTTGCTTTTCACTTTGTGTACACTTTTCCCGCAAAAGTGTTTCAAAAGAATGTACATATTTTTATGGAATGCAAAAATTTAACATTGCGTGTTAACAGTTGGCATGTCGGGGCTGTTGGGAACAGTATGTACTTTTTCACTTAAACTTTCTACAGAGTTCTTATATTGTATACAACTTTTTAGCCAATAAACTGTTGATTTTTTTTTACGGAGATTATTTTTTGTTACTAATTTTCTAGACCTTTTGGTACTAATTTCCTGGACCACCTTTCCCACAATGGTCTCATGCTGTGCACATTTTTCATGGTTTTTATGCATGTAACTTTTTACAATATTAGTCAGTCACTCAAAATTCCAAGAAAAGTGTATGCATATATTATGCTCTTGCATTTTGTATTTTTAGTACGGCTAGATTTGAGTCGAATGTTTTTGAGTGGTTGACACTGTCGTGATGAATATTCATTTTTGATTATTCACAGGTTTTGAGAGTTTTTATATTTACCCAATTGTTGTGATACTTTTTGTATAACCCATTAGAAAGCTGTTGACGCAATTTCTGCGAGTTTCCCGGTTTGCTCTTTTTAATAGGCAGTCTTTTTAATTTTTAGTCTGAGGTGAACTATAAGATGTGTTTTTTAAAACAAAAAATTCTAAATTCCAAAAAAAATATATCGAAATGTTGCCTTCTGTACAATCTGCATAATATGATAAACTGACAAATGAAACTTAGTATACGGCAGACCAAATGTTATAGCTTGTAAATTGGGAAAGCTTCAACATCCAACAACCATGTAATAAGTTCGTTTGCAGCTAACTTGGTGGAAAAAGTGTACTCCTTTTGTTTAAGCTTAAAACTGCATATTTATCCAACCGCTTGATTGCTTGATCAGCTTGTGGGTAAATGTCCGAACGTCCTGCAATGAGAAGGAGAAAAGTACTGCAAGGAAATGTGACCCCCCTTTTTATATAGGACTTTGACGTTTGATTCACCGGTAAGACGGAATAGGTGTTTCTGAAAAAGTCATTATTTATATTATGTGCACACAAGAAGGTGTGCACAAGGTATGGACAAAGACGATTGGTACAAGAAAAAAAGAGAGATTTTAATAAAAATGGAACAAAAATGTGAGAATTTAAATATTCACGTGTGTCTGCAGTTTGTTTACTTTGCCACAGCTTTTGAGAAGACAAAGACGAGTTTCTACTGCCATTCTTTGAAGTAAACTTAAAGTTTAGAGAGGCAGCATTCGACGCAATGAATAATACAATATGCGAATTGTCTTCTGCTCCATTCGGGTTGTCTTCAGAAGAGGGCGCTATGCATTTTTAACACTGGAATTCGCAATGCCCAAAGCCTCCGCTCTGCTCGAACTCCTCGGGCTCAAGAACTCGGATCGTTTGGAGTTCATTGATTTCCAAGAATTTGCCTTGGCGTTGAAAACAAAAATTTAAATCCCCGTAATAGACGGTGTTACGCTACGTCGATAAAACTTAGCCTGTGTTGATTTTGTTCTGAGTTCATCTTATCAGCCCACCAGGTAGATCTGCTTTCTGCATTTGCAACTTCCAAGTCACGTTGCAACGCAACGACCACGATTACTAATCTTATCTGGCGCCCTCTTTTGATAATTTTTGTCACCTTACGTTTCAACACGTCACAAAACGGCGCAATTTTTACGTGCGTGCCGTAGTCACGTCATGCACGCGCTGGCTGTCGAGTCCAGTCGAGTGGAGATCAATCCAATGTGGCTGTGACATAGAGCACCATGTGGTGTATGTTTGCTTCCTCAACTTATTAATTTTGCTTTCTAGTGTTCAGGGGTCGTACACTGAACTTCCAGCGAGCTTTTGTGATGGAAACGAGACTTCTGATGGCATTATTTTGTTAGTAAGAGATCTTAATAAATCAAATATGCAACAGCGTTTTTCGAACAGTGAAAATTCGTCGATTTCCTCTCTAAGTTCCTGTAGCGTCGTTAGGCCTAACAAATATCATGATGTTTTTGCAACTGTTTTTTTTAACAAGAATATGAAACCCATAGGGTTGAAGCCGGTGCTAAAGTAAAGGCCTTCCTAAGTGTCATTAGCTTGCAAAAAAAATTTTTAAGGCCATGTTCACGAACTTAAAAATCTGGTTCACGCTGTGATTTTATTCTGTCACGGCAATTCATTAACTAACCGAAAGTCCAGTTGATATTTGAATAGGGCAGATTTCAGTTGGGTTTAATGGTGTCAATAAAAATAATTTTATGATATATCAAGGATCCGTAGTACCTTCTGAGGACATTAAATGACGATGTTGCATAAAAATGACCTATAAATGGACGATATCACTTTCAACAAAATTTTTGCACTTTTGGCTTTATCACGTAGGCCAATGCCAACGTCATTACGTCCTTTGCAAATACGTACGTGTATATGGGGTATATCTTCAGGAAAACACCAGAAATATTTTCAACAGTTTATGTGCACTCTGTGTCGGCAAAATGCCATGCGGCATCTGCATGTGAGACTACGGCGTTCACAAGTATTGAACACTGGCATTGGCTCTCCACCGCTGCCTCTTTTGATCAAAACTTAAAGCCGTAGTTATAGGAGACAGGACCGGATTATGGCTGCCGCCTGTCATGTACCACATAAACTGCATGCAATCTGGTGTGTTAACTAAATTGATACACCTGCAGCGCTGGGTAAACATACATGAACGTGAGATAGAAACTAGGACTAACAAATGTCGGTTACGTTAGGCCTAAACAGTAACAGTGTTGGTCAAAACCAGTAGGCCTTTGAGCAAAGGAGATTTTTCTTCAACACTAACTTGCCACTTGAGTGATTTCAACTTGAAGCCTCCTGTAAGGACCAGATAGTCCCACAAATCATGCAAATGGGCCCAGCTACTGGGCCCTCACACCATGCAGGTATGATACCCCATAATGCTTGACTAATGTATGCTAGTATGTGACTAGTTGCCAGGTAATTAGTCAGCCATCTAGTGTGAAGTTACCCTCAGGGGTTCATCACACCACAGGGGTTCATCACACCATCGTTGTATTGTGAAATCAGGTTGGTTTTTCCTGTAAATGGTGAAACAGGACCCGGTGACTACATGTTTACATTTTGAGTGCATCTACTTAAAGGAACCAGGAAATATAGAAATATAAATATTTTTATAAATTTTACTAAAACCCTTGAAATTGCATCTTTGGGTTTCAATTAACCTGATTTTAAATTTTTGTTTTGCAATTTTAACCCTTATTTTGATGCTTTGTTGTTTTATACTAATGCTATTGGCATATTCAGAAAATTTGTAGATTTATGCAATGGCAGATTTTATTTTCCACGGCAATTTATTGCTGTGTAAGTATATGGCGATAATCCAGCAAAAATCCTTTTCACAGAGTTGTTCCCAGACAGCAAATTTGGGATTCACAATTTTAACATGAAAACATGCAACCTTCCTGGATTTATATCAGAGCAGAAGTGCCCTCACTTGTCCAGAAATGCTTGGTCAGTTTTGAATGTTTGAAAAAGTGCACCGTTCAGTTCACAAAACCCCAAAAAGATGTCAAATAATCTTCATACACGGAAGAAGAGTACAGAGATACTCAGAAAGTGATTTTACGAAAAATTCATTTACTTGTTCCTTTTCAAGATGAAATTTGTTTGTGTTTCCATGGAGCTTTTGTAGAGGACAAAGTTACAAGGTTGTTTGGGATCCATGAACTAGCTAAAGTCACACCCTCACAGTAGACCATGCCTGAATTACATAGGTACGGCTAGCTGAAATTATGCCCAGCTGCAGCCATTTTCAACAAAAAGTGTTGGGTGCGATCTGGGTAATCGCCTGAACACTCTGTGTGCAGTCAATTCTGCCTGAAATCTCTGCCTTTACTTAATTCCCTTTTTCGAAACAATCTTTCACAACCGTGAATTGGAAAGAAGAGGCAATTGGCCAATGGTGGAATTATCAACGCACCATGCTCTAAGATCACAGATCGTGCAAGGATCCAGTGATCACACATATATGGGCCTATTCCACTCAGTATGCACCTGTTATAATTTTGTACGATACAAGGTATGATATTGAACAAGACATACCTGTTGGTCAAAACAACAGTGTAGTCTATCTTGTTGGCTGTGTGGATGTGGAGTATGGAGGTAGTGATATGAAAACAGTGCATTTAAGAAATGTGGGTCGCTGCAAAAAACTGACCATAACCTGTTGCCAAACTTGTGTTGAAAGCTTTGTGATATTGGTGCAAATAGAATACACAATACTTTATCTGTTTAGCTGGCTACATGTACATGTATGAGGCATCATACATGTGTAACAAACTGGAACATTTAATGCTTGGTAGTCACCAGTGACTCCTAGCCTACAAGGTGAAATAAGTGAGTGGTAGGGTATTCTGTAATAATCACAAGTCCGGTGGAAACTACAAAAATTGGCCAAAGTTCCCCCCCCCCAAAACCCCCATACATTGGCAGATTCATAATCTGAGAGTGTGGCCTTTTGTGTCATATATGGCAAGGAGTGCATATTGTCAGCCTTGTGAAAAAATCTGGAAAATATGCTGTACAAAAGCCTTGTGTTCTTGCAGACTGTAAGACCCTCCAAGGGCATCTAAGCTGTCACAGGTGTTTCAGAATGTACAGCCTAATTAGAATAGATCCAGAAATTGACAGGTGTCTGGGGCAGTGCTTGGAACCATTGAATATTTTGTATTCAGGAACGTGACTACTGATATAATGTCATTTGCAAAACTTTAGGACTACCCATAGAAAACGTATTAACCTGAAGGAAAACCAAACTTAAACCAGTCAATCATGGCAACTTATGTTATTTTCATTGTGTAACCTTGGTACCTCGGTTGGACATTTTTGACTACATTTCCATGATTTGACATGTTAACAGTCTAATATTCAGTGTTCCCTCCTTTATTTCTGATTGCTTAGACTGGCTTTTTTTCCCAAGCTGCCTTACAGACAAAAGTCATACAAGACCTGCCTTAGCAAAACATTTCATTCGAATGGGTATATAGCACTACACTAATGTTTATGCACCACTGTAAACTCATGTGAAGTAATCAGTCAAAGAGACAATGTAATGCAGGCCCAGTGACAGAAATACCTATGAAATTCCAGGTGGTCTCAAACTTTTGCAAAGGACTGTATGTGTGTACTTTTTATGGGAAAAAAATGATTTCAGGAATCAATTTTTTTGCGGGGAGATTAATGTTTCCTGTGATAGGTGTAAGTGATAATAATGCAAACTTTTTCCTCCCTTTTCCATTGTCATTTAACCGAGGTCTGTTCAAGTTTCCCTGAAAAAGAATTAAAATGAAAAAAAGTGCACTGGCTCATTGGAGGCTCCCAACAGAACCCCAGTGGTGAACTTAACATTCCTTACATGCACTGCATTGTTAAAAGGGGCATAAAAAACTTTTCAGGTCAAAAAGGCCCTTAGCAGCTAGCTCCCACCCCCAGGGGTTGAATTCTTATTTGCCGCTGACTTTTCTCACACCCTCAGAATTAGAAATCTGAACTTTTTTGATCCCCATATCAGTTCCGGTTAGCTGTGGTATGCTCACTTCATCATTCGTGCCTGGTAGTGGCATATGGAACATTGAATTGGTGGAATTTAATCAAATACCTTTAATCAACCAACTTAGCACAAATGGCAGTGTCTATAACAATTGGATATACATGTACATTTGAGTTAAGTTCCCATCTGTACAGAACACTAAACGTGCACACTATGTTTTGAAACATGACAGAGTATTCATGTTGCGTTGCCTGTAGCATATACACTACAGATAGTGTCTACTCAATGTACAGTACGTACATGCATGCTGTGCACGTACTGTACTTTCTTTTTTGTTGGATAGAAATACTTGTGTGGCTGGAACGATTCTGGTTTCTTTAAATCTCTGATTTTTTACCTAGTTGATTTTGCTGTTAGAATTTCTGGGCATGTTCTGCTTGCTGCTGCAAGTTTGGGGTAAAACAAACACCACTATGAACCTGTATAAAAGCAGATACTTTTTAGATAGACCTTGTCCGGCCACAGGAAACAGAGAACACGGCAAAGTAAAAGTGGTTCCTTGAATAAAGCTAGTGCCTTAAATAACTTACCAAGAACACTTCTTAGTGAGGACTGCTTTCACATTGCACTCATTTCCTGACAGATTATCTGGGGCGACAGGTGATAAAGATGTCTGCCTATTTCCTCTGACCTTAAGGGGTCAAAACAAAATTGAAAAGTGTGTGCTAAGTGTGAGGAAGTGCAGCAGGCCCATGGAATTCCCTCAGCAGGTGATCTCACCCACAAAGTATTTGGGGTCAACCTCAGGACACCCCCTAAGATCCTATTAGTACATTCCAACAGGTAGTGTTTACAGCCAACTGGCACATGTAAATGTACATAAAGGCACTCCATTTATGGAATATTGGGTGGGCAGGGGTGTGTGGGCTGATACTACTTCATTTGCATATTAACTTTACAATGAATATTCATGACTGGGCACTTCTCATTATTGTCAGAGGGGATTCCAGACTTTGGCTAAAATGCTACTGGCAAGTAATGTTCTCCAGCAAGTAGGTGTTTTAGGAATGTTTAGGGTAGAAGAAGCCCAGGTTGGATGCCACTCTTCATTAACGTAGTATGGTCAGGGAGTCCACCTAGGCTGGGGGTACTTTTAAAGTTTTAAAGTCTGCCCAGTGGTAAAAATATGAGAAGAACATCACGTTACCTCTGATAGATAGGCCTGCGCATTACTCCTGGCCACAGGCTAATAATTTAAACACTGTCTTATTCTGGAATCAATTCCATTCAGTTTTGGTGCAGAGTTACACTAGCACTAGCCTGTAAGCTAGCCTGGTGGTGGTGAGAAAAACTGTTTTGGTGCGTACAAAGTCTGTGAAGTTTGGAGCTTTCTATATATTTCAACCCGTTTTGTGCGTGTCAACTCATTTGTGAGTACATGTACCCTCTGCAAATAATATGCAGCCATATAAATAAGCTTTGTTTTATTTGTACATGTGTGGTACCCACTACAATGGATACAGAATTCATTCTCGTGTCATATGTCCACGTACACAGTGCAAATCTCGGATGAATCTGTCCTTTGAGTTGTTTTCAGATGCATCCGCGGCTTTGCCTCTGGCCTTTCTTTGCATTACCTCTTCTCCGTCTCGAAAATAATGGAGCATGGTGTAGGATGTACCCAGGGGAATTGGAAGTGATATAGGTTGTACACCTGCATCATCCTGGGATGCCGTCCACATTTGGCAGTACTGGCACTCTGCAAATACTCGTTACGCACATATTCGAGTTAGAGTAGTGCCATTGCAGTGGGCCCCCAGATTCTCTTGGAGCAGTCTGTTTGTGTGACATACGATGGCCTGATATTACAGGTCTCAAGAGTTTCTGTTTGTGTGCCAGAAGGGGATACATTTGTTGAGGTTGAAATGAGACAATTTGCCAACCCAGTTTGTAGCTTGGCATGTGGATATAGCAGATTTTAATTTGAAGAGTTTTCTCCTGGTCCACTGGCAAAATTACTTAACCCGAAAAGGGACGAGGGGGAAAGAGGTTAGGATTCATGCTATGCCCCCCCCATTTTATCCAATATCAGTTCAGTGCCTTTTTACATAAATAGTTTTCCCACGTATGTCTTGCAATAATTTACACCATTGTCTTGAAAATCAGAAGTGCCATTCATGTAAAATGTTTTTTTCTTAAACAGGTACGACCAAAAATGTTAACTTTCTCAATAGACCTTATTCATGGGAAAGCCATATTTTATCTTGTTCGCTAAAGCTTGTTCAATGCAGTCTGTTAAATTGGATGGTGAATTATCCTGCTATATCCTGCTAAGTATTGCTCTTGGAACTGTTGAGATAGCCATCTCAATAAGCCTTTTGTCAGTTAAATTTGAACAAAATCTGGTACACCGAGTTATCTGATTGCACACAAATATAATTTGAATTTCCACAGACTAATGACACTGTTGCTATACCTTTTGATTCGGGGCAAGCATTTGCATAGCGACCACCATCTGTGGAATAGACTGGTTCCTTTGTGCGCTTCTTATCCATTGAAAACTGTGTATTGTTGCAGGGTGTCTCTTATGTAGAAGAGAAAGCTTGCCCCGCATCACGAGATATAGCAATAGTGTCTTTAGTATGGAGATTTCAAATTATGTTAACATGAATTTAAAGAACTCACTGTACAAGATTTTATTCAAATTATTGCGTGCAAGAGGCAGGTCCCAGGATGAGGGAGGGTATGGAATCTGTCACTAGCCTGCTGATCCTTAGGCTGTGTCCGAAACAGGCTTCCAGAGCTACGGCTAGGTCTATTGTCTACGCGTCTCCACACATTTCCAATGGAGCGAAGATCTAGACCTAGCTCTAGACAAGAGACTCGGATGCAGCCTTAGTCTACAGATGGGTCAGAATACAGCATACATTGTAGCTACATTTTTAGGAACATGGGAAACTGTCAGAGCCAGAATTTCCAACAGTGCTGATCAATCTTTGATCAACCTTCAATATACGGGTAGTGATGCAACTTCCGTTCTTGACTATATGGATTTATCAAAAGCTACACTTGCTCTTTTCCGGCCCGGTTTTCCTTGAATTTCTCATGGCCACAGTCATCTATACTTCTCCCGTGGATATGAGCTGTATTTTCTGTGTATTGAAGATCCATGGCCACTGGGTTGGATGAAGAGAGGACGTCAACAGAGGCCAGCGCAACCTCCCATGAGGATCGCAGTTGATCGTAGCAGTCTGATGCACCTGTCATTAAAGCCTGCACTTTGATACAGTTGATAAGCCTGTCTTTAAGTTGAACTCCTCAAGTGCTTTGAGGGTATCAGCTCCAATTCTCAAATTTCTCTGATTCTCTTGAATTTGTTATCTGCATTCAAAGGAAGGTTTCTTTTCTGACACATAGTTAACTGTCTTAAAATCTGTCCTGATGAGCGACTGTGGCTTTATCAGGTGAGCATCTCAGTTTGAGAACATTTCTAGTCTTGGATGCTAGTCCATTGTAGATTTCTCTTTTCTCTTTGTCTAGAACTGTGTTGAAAGGGTGCTGAGATGTAATGCCCGTACAGCTCACGTCCATTGGAAGTTGTGGCTAAAGAAAGCGAGACATTGAACTTCAGCGCCATGTAGCATGTCTTTGGAAGGTTAGTTGGGAGTTGCACGTAATATAAGGGAAAAACTGGTGGAGTGTTTGTTTTCTGTAGTCTACTAGTCGATAGCGCCACCGGAGCTTTAAGATGTGATAGTCTTGCCTGCCTGAGACATGCGAATGACACATGAATTAAATACCAATCTGAACTGTTTTCAGTGTAAAGGAAATCTATCTCTTTTTAGTAATTTGTTAGAGATCCAAAATGAACACTTTCTTGATTCCTGCCTGATACTGAATGGATCTCAACCTCTTTGGCTGCAAGTTATCTTTAAGTACTGATGTTCTGCTTATTTGTCAACACATGGCACAGACCGAGATGGAAGTTTTCAAGGTTGTTTGTGAAGTTTGATTCTGTCTGAGTGCCCTGTAGAGATTGGCGCTGCCTTTGTTTTTGAGGTCGGAAAGCCTGTAGGACTCCTTAGGTTGCTGGCTGAGGAAGGTCTTAATACTGCGTCCGTCTGTCCCTTTTTCAGATTCACAAATTGTAGCCTTTGCCAGTGGAATCTACATGTAAGTGTACATGTACATGTAGGTGTTCCTTGTAGAAATGCCTTTGATATTGACTGGCAGACTTATCACATGTAAGTGCTTTTGCATGCGTTGCCTGTTGGCCTCAAAATTGTAATCAATCGGGTAACGTTGCAGTCAGTACCTTTGGTTGTCAGATTATGTCACTTGAAAACATGGTGACAGACACTTTTCCTATGGCCAGTTGGGAGAGTTTAACAAATATTTTACCCCTTATCCTTGAAGAGAATCTGCATTGTGGCTTTTGTGCTCGGAATTATTGTTTTTCAGGAAGCTCACTAACTAACGAATGAACGTTTCCTTGACCAAAGCTTCCCAGTAATAATCACTATTGTGGGTTGCATGCATTCTGTGACAGCAGCACATTTATTCGAGTGGATAACCTTGGTACAGGGTACCAACCAATCAAAATACCCAATCATCTACCCTTCAGTCTCTGACCAAGAGTGAGTCACAGGTTCCAGTGATGTCTCCATTTAGCCTGGCCTACAGTGTTGCATTAATTTGTCCATTTCAGACCGACACTCATTAGGGAGTGGGGCTTTTAAGAATGGATGATAGTCTGTGTGTCTTCCTATACCCAGCAAGAAATGAGACCGAGGGATACCCCCCCAACATGTCCAATCCCTATACACAATCCAGACTATTGTTACTTAACACATCCCCCCAAGATGTCTGACAGGAATTCCCCAGATTCCTGCCAGACAATGACCAACACAAAGCCGGGGGGGGTTCTCTCCGTCTCATACCTTGCTGCATATGTTGCAACCTGTCACTTTTGTATAGAGTTTCTCCACCTTACACTGTTCTCCCATGTTTCTTGTCCAGTGCTCATGTACTGTGCAGTGGTCTGCATGGTGCAGTGCAGGCCTACTCTGCCTATTCACATACTGTACATGTACAATGTACATGTGCATTGCATATACATGTACATGTAGGTGTAGGGACTTGGGTGGTGCGTTCATACTTATATCCCCCCTTCCCTTAAAGTACCTTGCATTCCAAGGCTAGCTGATCTCAATTATGGAATCATTCCCCACCCCCTTCTCAGGTCTAAATGGTACTGCCCTCTCCCAGGGCAGTCTGTTCTGGTAGGATATTATATGGCTTACCTCTCATGAGGTTGATTAAATTTATTATGAGGCTGCTGGCTTACTCATAAGGGTCTCGTACAGCATATCATCAGATGTCTCATCAGGGGGCTCGTGATGGATGGTTTCAGCCTGGCTGTTTTTTTCCTTGATGATTCAATGCCTCTGGCTGACTGCGGCCCCGGAGTTGATGGAAAACTGACAAACAACTTAAAATTCTGCCTATTGAATTTTATTTGCTTTTTTAATATTTAGCCTTTAGCTGGCGGAAATCAAAAGCCCTGTTTACACGTACATGTAGTATGTTCAGTTTGTGACATTTTGCTTTTGGTTTTACATGTGTGTCTTTTACATTCATTTTATACCGGATGTTTTTATTCTAGTAATCAACCTTTCATCCAGAAAAACCCCTCAAATTGCACACTTTTAAAAAGTTGTGGATCTTTCCAGTATATTGTCAAAAATGAGTGCAGCACCAAACCATAGCCAAACCCAAATTAAAACTAAACCCAAAACACCCAAACTCCCAAACCCCAAAACCAAAACCCCCAAACCAAAACATAAACCAAAACCAAATCTCCAAAACCCCCAAAACAAAGCTCCAAAACCCAAAAGCATGAACCAAAAGTCAGCTTCCAAACTTCAAAAACTTAAACCGATATCCCCAAAACCAAAATCCGAAACTCCAAACCCCAAACACCAAAACCCCCAAACCAAAAACATAAACCCAAAATCAAAACCCTTCAATCAACACCAGAAAACCCCAAACCCATTTAAAAACATTTAATTTTAACTTGCATGTTACCAACCTTTCAGCCATGAAAGCCCCTCCAATTAAAACTGTTTCAGTTGTGGATCTTTCCAGTGTAAAATGAGCGCACGCAGCATTAAAGCAAACCAAATCCA